GCTTGTTTTTGGAAGGTACCCTATATAATTTAGATTATATTGGAATAATGTACATGTGAGATTAATAAGAGAAGACTCTCAATAGATGGGATTATTCATGTGAACTTTTCCTATTGTACAAATGACGTGCACTTTGTCGTGAGTGCACTCAAAATAATATTCAATACTAGCACTAATACGTAGTATAGCGTAGTAGAGTTCGTATCCACAGGGAAAGGAATAACTCTTCTTTTTATGTAACTAGTAAATAAAGGGGGGTTTTGATCGAGTGATTTGATTAAAATTAAACACGAATATGAACGAGTTATGTGGTTTAATTCAAAGATAAAAGGGACTTGGCATTGCTACTTTCCACTTGTTGATATATTTTAGTCGATCATTGTTATATCTATAACTTATCTCCTCTCGAATACTCAATCGAGGAGTATATCCAATTCATCGAGGATAGTTATTAACAACGACCGTTCATTAATAACCCTTACTATTAGTCAAGTATAGAACAACGCCATATACCGACTTGATAGTAGCATTTAATCTTTTAACTCCTTGATGAAATCAATTGAGATTGATAACCTCAACACAACGGTTTCGGTTTAACCAACAAAATTAATCCCTCTTAAGTTTATTAACCACGACCGTGCATTAATAAACCGAAGTTACTTACTTGTGAAACTATCAACGATTAACCATCGGTTCGTTGATCGTTTCTAGTAATAATTAATATATGAAACAAAACTAGTTGATCCTTTAAGTAATGTTCAAAATACCAATATGAAATATGAATAGGAATTAATTAATACTCAAGGAAGAATATTAAAGAAAATGAATCCTACTATAGTTAATATCAAGATGTTAACTAATTGTCATCTTAGTAACACTCCCCAATATTAACATAGAGGAAGAATAGCTATTACTAAGACCAATGTCGAGATGTTAACTAATTGTCATCTTAGCAACACTCCCCAACATTGATATAGAAATAGTATTTAAAGGAAGCATTAATACTCAAGGAAAGAAGTTAAGAAAATAACTCACAACTTTAATAATCAACAAGCTTCAAGAGCAACACCAAGAAATGGAAGTTTAGCTCCTCAGTTGGAGACTAAACATGCTAAAAGAAATAAAGAGAAATGCTATTCCAAACTGAGCTTAAGAGTATAAAGGAATTCGTTTTTAAAAGTGAAGGAAAAGAGGTGTATTTATAGGCTTTTTTGAGGTGCAGGTCGGGTACTCGATCGAGTATATACATATACTCGATCGAGTATGTGTAGAACTTCGAATTTGATCCATACTCGATCGATATTCGGGTATAATTCATAGCTATACCCGATCGAGTATGTCGGTGTACCCGATCGGGTATAGACACTCGATCGTGGTAAAATCTTCCCTGCATGTTCCTTTGTTTTCGGATCGGATCCGATTTGAAATTTCAACAAGATACTCGATCGAGTATAGGTAATACTCGACCGAGTATAGACCAAAATCAGGATCTTCCTTTTTTGTCTTGTGATTTTGCACCTTCTTTCCACTTTTGGGGTTCACCAACTGTCCTTTGAGTGATGGTAGACCTGTTTGAGCTCAGAATAAACCTAATCTAAACATTTTACAAGAATTTAACAAACTAAACTATTACACCAAAAGTGTGTAATTTCCGAAATGCTAAACTACAAAAAGTAACTAAAAATGCAAACATAAACATGGAAATTACACGTGTATCAACAAACAAAAGATGATACTACCTCCGTCCCACTATGTTTGAGACAATTCGGTTTACGATGTTTGACCGACGATAAAACAAACAGATCACTGCCCGCTCTCAAATTATTTTTAGAAAAAAATTACATATTCAGAAACTACATTAAAAATTTTACAAAGTTACAAAAACTTGAATCAAAATTGATAAAAATTTGATATATAAAGTAAGAGATTAAGAGTGATTTGTGTTAACCAAGTAAATAGTGTCTGGGACAATCTTAGAGGGACGGAGGGAGTAGTAATGTTCAAACCACGAAATCTATCAAGTCAGTGAATCTCAATGGAGTTCAACCCGGGTCTATCGAATGGAGAGCTCATATACTCCCTCCGTCCCGAAAAGATTGGCCAAATTTCATTTTTTGGATGTCCCAAGAAGATTGATCATTTGCATTTAAAGTAAGAAATATGTGGTTAAAGTTAATTCTCTCTCCTCTACACAAATTTCAACCGACGTACCACACAGTTTTTACTTTATTAATCCACGTGAAAGTCAACTTTGGCCAACCTCTTCGGGACGGAGGGAGTATATGTTATGCTCATGAGAAAATTTGACCATCTATCTTGATTGCATAATGAGACCCACCTAATCATTAGTCGGATGAGTGAATGTTTTTGGAGGTAATTAAGGGTTATAATCGACAAAAATATTGACCAATTATCTTAGTTACATTACGTGACTTCCTTCCAAATTTCAACGCATGTAATTCCAACATCATTTCATTTTCCATGATGATAAATAAAAAAAAAGACATTTTTAGCTCGAGTAGACATATATCTATCAAAAGATATGTTACACATGATCAGTTATATGTTATCATGTATAGGGGTTAGTTCAAGGATTAATGAGAGATTATTACATGTGATGGTAAAAGCAACTAAGCAAGGTGTCACCACCACTAAGAGTATCTCTACTACAACAATGTACACGGTGCACATGTGGAATGAGAAAGACACATAAAATTTGATGTATTCGCCCCAAACGTGCTTCAACTTAGTTTTAAAATATGTTCATGACTCATGAGTGGCCCAAAGCAGGTTGAAGCACCATGGGGAAATAGCTGCTACCCGCATTCACCCAACAGAGGCCATATTATTCGACAGACAACTGCCATGTGCAGGATAGAAATGCTACAAGGCCCAACCAAAATAAAAATATCGACTTTCTTTAAAATATTATAACTTTTTAGTTATACTGCAATTTTTACAAAAACTATATAAAAAGGTAAAAGAAAAATATGATATATATAATTAAAAAATATGATATTTCAACTGCTGGAATTTTTCATTCCCAACATTTTCCTTATACGGACCCAAATTTTCTTAAAATATTTTTTTCATCTTTCAGTTGTTTGTTAAATATGTTGAAGTAACAATAGTGAAAATAAGCTCTAACTTTATTTGTGTTTATATCATAGTGTTTGACGTTTAAAATCATAATTATTAGAAAATGTGACCAAAAATAATGTATAATAATAAAGCAAGGTTTTGATTAAAAAAAATTACTTTTTGTTTGAATAATTAAAAAACTTTACTTGGTAAATATATTAATGGCTCTGAATTGCAGAAAATTTTATATTGACCGGGTGAATACATATAAAATGATGGATAATTTGATTTATAGACGAAATGTGTTGCGTTTAGCCAGAAAGCATGGTTTACAAAGATGCTTCTCATAACTTTAATAGTTTTTGTTTACCATTAAAATAAATAAATTTCCTATTTTGTAGAAATTTCAAGCGACCAACCAAGAAAAGAAATAATTCCGAATATATAACCAAAATAATAATGCACAAAAATGTGACTCAATAATGCATAGTGACTATAAAACTTACTCGTATTAGATTGTATTCATATTTTTGTTTATAAACTTTTTATTAGTATTTTTAGGAAACAACTTCCATGAAAATACTTCACACGGCACACTATCACTGCATTTCATTCACATTAATTTTATTCTTACATTATATATACAATTTTTTTTATTTTACTTGGAAAAATTGTGTATGATCCACTTTCATTTTACCTACAAAATAGCATTATAAAATCAAAATTTGGACATATCACATATGGTTATTTATGTACTCCGAATTTCTTTCTTTAAAAAATGTACTCCCTATGTCTTTTCTTATATCAAAGATAATTACATATGCGAAAATCACACTTTTAATTCTTCAAATAGTAACCATATGAAAATGTAATCCCCGTGCTTCAAAGTATGTAAATATAATCACTCAGAGCCCGTTTGGTAGCACGAAAATTGGCTGTTTTGGTTGGTTCTGCTGAGATTTATGAAGTTCTGGCTGAAGTGACTGCATTGACTGATTCTGCTGATTTAAGAAAAAAATATTTTTAAAATATACTTCGTATTTCATTAATAAAATAAAGATAAAATTATATGTAAAAATCAGTGTTCTAAAAGGCGTGAGGCGTGAAGAGGCGGCATACCCGAGCCTTAAGCCTTCGAAGCATAGGCGAGTTTAGGCGAGGCCTAGACGCCAAAAGGCGTTTCAATTTTTACTAATTATTTTTTATTTTTTATAGAAATGTTAGTAAATATATAATAAAATAAGTACATATTTATGACTAAAATAAAAATAGATTACAAAAATGTGACATTTTATTATAGTATTAATATTAGTCATACTAATGCATGTTCAATTTTTAACCTTAAGTGATCATGACAGTATGACATTATATTATATGAAGTATTGATTTTTGGTTATATTTTTGTAAATGAATTTTATCTAAGTAATAACTCTGAAAAAATCTCATACATAAATGAAATATCAGAAAATATTTAGTAAAACATCATACTATATCATTTTTATACACGTAGTATACAAATGTTAAAAGCATATAACAATACTTCAATAATAGTAGTAGTAAATATTATAGTGCTTGCTCCGTGTATATATATATATATATATATATATATATATATATATATATATATATATATAATAATACTACGTAGTAAAAATAGTAAAAAGTATTGATCATTTAGATTGAATATATACTCCGTATGTACGGAGTATATAATAGAATAAGAATTGAAATGTATTTAATGAAATGCCAAACATTCAAAATATGTGGTTAAAAATGTAATGACGGTTAAAAATGTGCATTGCAACTAAAAAGCGAATGGGTAAACTAAAAAAAATGGAGAAAGTATTTTTTTTGGAACAAGAACTGAGGAAGTATTACTCCAAAAAAATAAGTTACTACGGAGTATTATGCTAACTAATCTCGAATAAAGTAATGAATAAAAATCATGCGAATGGCGCAGCAGATTTGAATTGAACGCAGAGTGATGACGCCAAAACCGGGAAAGCCAGCGAGCGAGGAATCGTGGCCTACTTCGCCGCTCCTTTCCGTTAGACTTATCTCTCTACTTTTTCGCGCAACGAAGTCGTGGCCCAGAGTTTGTTGAATTTGATTTTTGAGAGGGAAAGCATGAATTCAACACAGAGTGATAATAATGCTTAAATGAACAGAAGAAGGAAGGAATGAAAGAACAAAAACGATTAGAAGCTTTAGTCTTCGATTAGATTCCTTCTCTTCCAGTAATGTTATCCCAATGCATTTCTTGTAAGTCTTCCTTCCTCATTTTCCGATTTCTATTCCTTAAACTGCCCTTGTTTCCAGTACCCAAATTTTCAGGTCATTCAACTTCCATTGTTTGTTCAACTACTTTTTGTTCTACTGGCGATTTTCCATTGACATAAAATGGTGTTTTTTTGCATTCTTTTCCTTTAAAGCAAAAGTTTACCTTATGCTGCTTTTACATACCTTTTATGCGATCCTGATTGTACCGTAGCTACTAGATGCTAAAATTGCTTATCTCTTTTGCTTATATGCAGTGTTTTTTCCCTCTTTGTTTGAGGTCCCCCCTTTCTTGCCATTTATTGCTCTGGTTATTGCACCTCCCATTTATTTGAACTGATTGAGCACTGTGGGGATAATTTGAAGCTCGTTTAAGCAAATTTTGCTTTCCATGGACTATGCTATTTGTTTATTGGGAAGGACTTGGCCTGTAGAAGAGACTGTATATTATAGTATTTTTTGTTATTTTGAGAAAACTTCCCTCTTTATTGTCCCATCAACCCTTGCTAGATCACTACACTTTTGTTCCGTTTTTCTCATTTTTTTTCTACTATTTGTGCACAACTACCAATTTCTCATCACGCTTGGTTCTTCCTGTCACTTATCCGGACCAGCCCAACCCAACTCAATCAGGAACTGTCACCAAACTCATCATTTTGTTTTATCATTTGCAATGGAGCCAAAGTTTACCTATTTTTGGTTTTGGGAATATGATGGAATAAAGCAAAATGGCTCTCTTAACTGTCTGCCCTTCTTTGTTATGAAGCAGCAATCAGTCCATGCAATTTTCGACGCAATTTTTACCATGGGTCATCCGGAAACAGTCTCTTGTGCTTTAGTACAGGGGTAAGGTTGCGAACATCCGACCCCCCCTACCCCACCGTAGGTGGGAGCCTTTGCGGTACTGGGGTAATGATGATGAATGAAAAAGTGCTTGTAAGGACCAAGGAGCAAAAGGAAAAAACTAGGAGAAAAAAACCAATACGCATGCACCAAAATTTGGAAAAATTAAAGCCTGGGGAAAAATGAGATGACCTAATACTCTGATACCAAAAATGGATAAGTTTCTTATTGTAATTGCTGATGAGTCTTCATACAAAAAGGAGTTTTTTGCTCAATTTGAACTACTTGGTTCCATTTATCATAGATTGTGTAGGCTGTTCCAAAACAGTATCATATGCTTTTATGTCTTTTTAGTTTTTATGGCTGTAAAAATATACTCCGTAATTATTAAGCTCTTCATTCACTGGCAGGCTTTAATGCTGTCTTTCTTGTTTATATTCACGTTTGTACTTCTTGATCAAGTTTCGTATATGTGGGTTTGCTTTCATTGTAGTAGATATTTTTCTTCTTATGGCTGTTTTTAAGTATTCACATCAAAATTGTCATATAGCACTCTTTGCTATGCAGGAACAGTTGATTGTGACCTAATTCAAAGCAGTATAGCACATGATAAGGAGAAGTTTTCCTATTGAGAATTGATTTTTAAGTGTAGGTTTTCTTCATAAAAAAAAGTAAAAAACCTCTTGAAAATCCACTATTTGAATATTATCTACTTTGTGTTGGATTGAAGAATGGGAGACCATTTTGTATTACTGGTAGACCGGTTGCTCACTGAATCCACGCTAGAAGCTGCTATACAGTGTGGAAACTCATTGCAGGATCCTTCGAGCACTTTTGGAGATAAGAGAACTGACTTTAGTTCCCATAAGATGGAAATTAATGTAAATTCATCTCCAGCAGAATTAGTACAGTGTAGGATTTGCCATGAGGAAGATGAAGACTCTAACATGGACATACCCTGCTCTTGCCTTGGAAGCCTCAAGGTTTGTTGTGATTTTCCTCAAACCATTTGCTACAGAAACATGACATTGTTTGAAAATTTCAATAGCAAATCATGAGAGTATATCTGTATATGATTAAACTAATTAATTCACCACAGGGTATCAAAGCTCTATTTTGTTTAAGTCTATGACCTAATCTAGGTTTTGTCTGGAGTCTTTAGTTTCTCTTTATTCTCTCTTTTATAAGGAAATTAAATTTCTAAAATGCATGTTGCTAGGCATATTGGATCATATCCTTAGTTCTTACGTGAGTGATCTCAAAAACAGAGTGAAAGGCAAAAATTGTACTACCAAATTTTGACTCGCATTGTACAGAAATTAGTCCATCCACCCTAACTATCGTAATGTTTGACTTTTCATGCCCTTTTTATGTCTAACTTTGAATCATAATCATTTACTATTATATACTAGTACGATTAAAACTTATAATTAATAAAAATTTAAAGTGCAAACTATCATATGGGAAAGTAATACCGAGTATGAGTTTTCATAATAATTTATCGAAGTTAAAATATTACTGACTTTAAAGTCGATTTATGAAATAAGTTTATGAGGGAGTATATTTATGATGCCTCCCGGACAGTGGGTTAAGTGGTTGAGCTATCCAAGTTAAAGGCCTGTCCTTGCTCCACTGACCGCCTCACTTGCAAAGCCTAGAGGGTGCCATCGGGTTTGTTCGTCAAACTCTTTTCCTTTCTAGAAGCTGTAATTGAGACTATACCGATGGCTGCCCGTCCTGCCCTAACTAGAGCTTCTTAAAAGAACGTAAGATTGCCTTGTGTGTTCAGTTTATATTGTTGGAATGTGAAATTATATTAGAAGTATTGTTTATCTAATTTTGTAGGAAAATGGAATACAAGTTTTGAACTTAAGTTACAACAACACTACGTAGTAGTAATGAATAGTCATATTCTTGTAAATAAGTTTTATTTTAGTAATATTCTTGTAAAAAACCTATATAAAAAAGCAACTTAAGAATAATTTTAAACCTAAGATAAACAGATTACCTAACATTGCATCACCACTTAAGAATGTTTTTACTTGGACTGTAATTTGCTGGTCTGGTCTGGACTGGTCTGGTCTGGTCTGGTAATGTATGGTCTCTTTGTATTTTTATAACTATCCAAGTCTGGTCTGGTCTGAGACAAATTACAGTCCAAGTAAAAACATCCTTAAGTGGCGTTATGATTATATTGCCATGGCAATACGATAACTGGGATAAGGTAATATACCACTGTCAGACTTGCATTACACAAGTAATAATGTGAGATAACTTTAATCAAACACCTTAGAATAATGACCTTCAAAATAAAGAATTGTGTATATCTTTGTATGTAAATTTACATTGGAATAGGACACAAATAACAGTAATAGGAGCATAGAAAAGCATACCTGGCAAAGTAAACTATTGACTCTTCATAGCACACTTAGTATATGATCATTGTGCTCTTGAAACTGTGGAAATGATCATCTGCATAACTTTTTATTAGTAAAATGACCATATTTTGTGGATTTAGGCACATTGATATCTTTATGCTTGTAGATCAGATCTTGCTCTTAATGTGTTTTTCTCCTCTGCAGTATGCTCACCATGAATGTGTTCAAAAGTGGTGTAATGAGAAGGGTGATAATATCTGTGAAATTTGCTGCCAGGTGCGTTTGTATTTTGCATTAGTTTGGCACAACTGCGCTTTTTCTTAGTATTTTGTTAGTTGTTTTACATTTGGCATTCATTTGACTTAACTTACATTTCTTAGCATTTTGTTTGTTGTTTTTCATAGAGTTCATTATTCATAATTAGATTGGAGTCAGTGAGTCACTCAACTGAGCTAATGAAAATTGAATCTAATTGATTAACTGGTCTAACACAAGGCCTAATAAAGCTGAGTCCCTCTCTATCTTTTGATGTGGGACTATTAACATGTTCAACCTTGCTATGTCTGTTGCCAAAGATCGGTCCTAATTTCTTTTCTTTGAACATGGATGCGGATTTGAAGCAATACAAGCCAAGTTATACTGCTCCGCCGCCTTTGCTGTATTATGGTGGGATCCCATTGCACTTGAGGTACATATATATTTCGCTGATGTTTGTCTGTATGTGCGGGGAGGGTATATGAATTTGTGTTGGGCTGGGCTGAAGAGTTGGTGGGGGCTAAATGAACAAATAAAGTTCTCGTTAAGGAAAATGTTGCTCTAAGTTTCAGCCTGCCATAACTCTATTGTAGATCCACCCTTGTGTGTTGCATTGTGTTTGGATGCCAATTACCAACAAAGCTTTTCTGTTTCCAAGTTCTAATCATTTGGTTTCCTTAAACAGGGGTTTCAGAGGACATTGGGAGATTTCCAGAGAAGACCTTAGCAATCCTGAATTGTCTCCTACAGATCCCTACAATTTTATAAACCAACAAGATTCAGATGAGTATTCGGAACATGCTACTCAAAGCTTGATATGTTGTCGATTTGTCGCTATAATTGTAAGATCTCTCTCTCTCTCTCTATGCATATACGGAGTATATAGTAGTATTCTCCCATCAGGCCGGCCTGACGGGAACCGCCGTCAGGCCGAGGCCATTAGGGGTCCTTCCTTGTGGAATTTTTTGATGAAAGTTTTTGAGCATGTTCTTCATCAAGTGTAGATTATCTCCAAAAACATTCAACTTAAAATTCAATCGGGAAGTCAGTTAAATAAATTATTGAAACATACTGCGCATTATTTTATATATATAAATATTCCTTTTCCCCCTCATCTTCTTTTTCTCGTTTTTTTATCCTTTTATCTTTATATATATAAATATTCTTTTTATCCCTTTTATTCTATCTTTTTTATGTATATCCATCTCTTTATATATATATATATATATATATATATTTTATCATAGCTTATCTTTTTATCTTTCTTTTCTTTCTTTTCCTTTTGGTGCTGATATCATGTATCGATTCATGTTAGCCGACCCCAAAATCTTTTGGGACTAAGACTGTTGTACTGCGCATTATTTATATACATAAAATGCACTATGTTTCAATATTTTATCTAACTGACTTCCCGGTTGAATTTTAAACTGAAACTTTGTGGAGATAATCTACACTTGATGAAGAACATGCTCAAACAATTTCATCAAAAAATTCCACCGGGAAGTGCCCCAAATGGCCTCATCCTGACTGCAGTTCCTGTCAAGCCGGCCTGATATGAATTGACCTCTCTCTATATATAATTAATGTTTAGAGTGTGAACCAACTTTATAAATTACCCTAAAATGTCTTCCCTTTCAAACTTTCCTTCTATTTTTCTCAATTTTCTTTGGTTAGCATTTCATGTGTTCGAAATAGATTCCAAGTAGGGTGTTTTTCCCATTATATGAAGGAATCTGACCAAACTTTCTGAGTTCAAAGAGGTAATCCATTTCATGTTGTACATGCAGTTTACAGTTCTTCTGATGGTTCGTCATACTCTACCCATTTTCATCAGTGTTGTAGGAGATGACTCTATGCCTTTGCTTGAAGTAAGTTCTGCACGGCTTTGATCTTTGGAAAGAACATTATGACAATTGATGAAAAAGGGTGTATCAAAATTTTGCAGGTACTTATGCTGAGTATTGGGATCGTGTTGCCAATATACATAATGGTGAAGGCTTTTATTGCAACCAGGAACAGAAGACGACAACATCAGGTCAGCCATTGTATTCTAATGCAATTATTAGGCACAGTTTGGTGTTTTTTCTGTTTTTCGCTTTCTGCTTTTTTTATTAAAAGCAAAGTTCTGAGAACCAGAAAAAGTTATTTCTCTGTTCTTTTGGCAATTTTCAAAAACAAACTGAAAACCATAAGTATACTCCCTTTTTAGCTCATTCCATAACATATACAGAGAGTATAATGTACCTTTTCAAATCCTAAAACAAATAAAAAAAAACTGAAACGCCAGTGATGTCAAACGAGCCCTAGTAAATGGTAACATAATTTGGATTCATTTGGTTGTCAGAAATAGATTACAAATCAAGTTTCAGAGTGATGTGATATACCCCTCATCCCCAGGAATCACTCAAAACTCATAGCCTCATTTGGATTGGCGTGTGATTCTTGATAATTTCCTTATTTCCAAGAATAGGCTGTGATGCCATATTTGATTCAGAAAACCTGGATTGGCAGGAATTTCTTTTTGCAGTCAATTCCTAAAATCAAGAGCGTTACATGCCTCCAACACACAATGTGTTGAGTTATTCTCGTCATTGCAAACATGATTTTATCTTATTCCCATTGATTGAGTTTACATTAGTTCAATTCCATAAATGTAAACCAGTCCAAATGAGGCCATATTATGAGGCACACTGCTCTGAGTTTAAGGAAGTCCAAAAAAGAATTTCCCAACTTCTGAGCTTTTCAAATCCAAACATGATAATCTCACCTAATTTCCTTTTTTACTGTTCTCACCTAATTTGCTTGAACAAGAAAATTCGCTGCAATCAATCCAGTTAAGGCTATGTTTAACTCAAATAGGAAGATTGTTATGCTGAGCTTTTTGTGATGAGGTTTGTAGGATGTCCGAAGCAGCTCCGACAATGCAATGACAAATGAACCACCCCAACTGCAGCAGCCTCTGCCACACCTCATACATATTCATTGACGACAACTATCTTACAATTCTGCTTTGCCATGTGATTTTATAGCCTTTATTTTTTAGGCAATGTACATATCTAAACGCTGTACAGACTCACATAGGCTGTATACACTATTTCTTTACAAGCATTAAAGTGAACTAGTGATATTCTTAATAGAATATTTGCTTGAGGAGTCTAATGACATATGCCGTTGTACCTCCAAATACTTGGACTCACTTCTCAAAAGTGCAATTTTTGAAAAGGGGAAATTTCGTCATAAGAATTCCCAGAAGGATGAGTGTGTTTATTTCTGGACGTCTGAGTAAGGAGTGTAAATGCGAAAATCATTTAAGGAAAGAATCCCTTAAAAATACGAAGTATGAATTCAGGCATGGACAGGTTCCGGTCTGACCGGCCCGGGAACCGGCCCGTCCCGAGGTGTTAGGGCGGGCGGTTCCAGGCTGCACTTCCTTTGGAACCGGCCCAGTAGGGCCCGGTCCGGGCCTATAATTTTTGTTTTGTTGTAGGCGGGTTGGGCTGGTGTTTGGGGGGGGGGGGGGGGTTAATTAGAAAAGCAAAAAAAATGAACCGGCCCGGCCCGGCCCGGACCCGGTGGAATCCTGGTCTGGTTTCGGGCCTTCAACCAACAATAAAAAGCCCAGTTTGGACCGGCCCGGAGCCCGGCTCGACCCGGAACCGGTCCATATGCCTAGTATGAAACACTTATTGCACTAATGTTCTTAATCTATTCGTTGTACTTTTCTGGACTGCTAGTTGAAATATTTGAAATTAGGGTTGTAAACGAATCGAATCGAATACTTGACAATATTATTCGTATTCATTTAACATTCAAATCTTATTTTATATTCGTATTCGATTCGTTTGGTATATTAGAATAGTTTTCGAATATTCGAATCTTATTCGAAAAACATTAAAGTTAAACTATGAAAATATTTGAAATTATAATGTATAGTTTGTCCTGGCAACGTGATAACATTCAAATTAAAATATGCAAAAACCTACTACTTTTTTGTACATAAATATTATGTTATTAATATTTTTACATTCAATTATACGTAGTATTTATTTATAACGAGTAGTATATAGATGTGTGTGTCTAATTCGAATATATTCGAATACTCTACGAATCGAATACTATAGTATTTGTATTCGTATTCACAAACTATTCGAATAAAAAACAAATATGTATTCGTATTCGTATTCATATTCGTATTTGTTGATGTTTATTCCTTCAACCCTTGGACCCAACACGTAAGCCCAAAGATTTCGAGTGGAGTGAGTGTGTGGATATCTAGCCCAACAACTATCAGATGGATCAGGAAAACAAAAGTAATAGCAGGCAATGTAAATAGGTATTATTAACTCCGCAATAACTCCTCTAAGTACAATCTACTTGCTAAAAAGGCACGTCGGCCGTTCGTCTTACAAGGCACTTAGAAATGCTGCAAGTAAGAATGCTGAAGCTAGTATGCTAAGAATAGAAAGTTGCCAACCCTTTACAATGAAATAAATGCTTCTATTTATACCCGCCAATGGGCAGGTAGCTGTACTGACGTGGCAGCCTGTGGACCGCTGGTGTCCCAACTACCAAATCTTTAGCATTAAATGCACTTCCCGCCAGAATCTAGGTTTCCCGCCGGATCAGTGGGGATGTTCGTCCACCCGGGAAGTGAGTTGGATTGCTCCAAGTGACCCTTGAGGGATATTGGCCGTTCGTCTCCTGGCCTTGATAGATACTCACCATGTGCACTGGGTTTTCTCCGATGACTACATGCGTGCTCTGGGGACGTTCGTCGCCATCCCTGGTGGCCCGTGGCTCTGCTCCTTGTCCCTGCATAGACGTTCGTCGTAATGAGCTGCTGGGCTTGAGTCCTCCAACACCAGACGTTCGTCCATCCTTAAAGAACATGGGCCTGTGTGCTGGCCTAGTTTCTAGCTGGACGCTCGTCTGGCAAAATGGGTTAGTGGGCCGGACCTCGGCTTGGGCCCTTAACCCAACACAAGTCCCCCACTTCTGATGTTCTGAGCATGCGCAGGACATAAGGAAGTATGAGCCTCCCCGAAGTAGACGTCCGTATCTTGGCACTTGTGTTCATTGCATCTTGGTGGAAACGTACGCTCGTGGCCATGGTGCTTGACAGCTGTTGACGGTTCAGGAAACGAGGTGACGGCTGATGTTGCGGCGGCGCATTTTCCCGAGGAAGTGTCATCATTACGTTCCCATCCCACGCACAGCGCGTGGGCCGGAATACGCTCCTTGCCACGTGTCAGCCCCTCGTTGGTTTCCCCATCGGTGTCTCCCCTATAAATGCTGGGTTTGCCCTCTGAATTAGGGTTCCCAATTTCTGCTCTCTTGCTCTCGATTTTCCGCAGCTCTTCAAGTTTCCTGAATTCGGCCAACCATACCTTTGTAAGGTAATTTCCCCCCTCTGCTTCTTCCCTTTACTCTGATTTCTAGCCGGAATGACTTCGATGGAGATTTCCTCAAGTTCTGATTCCGGTTCGTCGGGTTCCTCCTCGGGCTCCTCTTCTGAAAATGCTAATGCACGCTCCCTGGGAAAAACTAGTGTTTCCGGAACCTCTGGTTCGGCCACGACGGTGGGGACCATCCGGGCTGATGGCGGGCCGGATGATGTGTCCCAAGATAGTAGGAGCGACGCCAGGGGTGGGGATGCCGATGAGGCAGTGGACGTTATTGATGCGGTCCCCCTGAATGAGCGTCCTGCTGATTATGATTCTGGAGAGGAAGCCGAATCCGGTTCTGATATGGAGGTGTATGATCTGGGCATCCCCACGGATATGGAGCGTCACATCTGCCCGATAAGGAGCGCCCTTGACCACGACCAAGTCCTCTCCCGTGTGGCCCTCAATAAAATCCGCACCTTCCTTCCTCCGCCGTTCGTCTGGACCGTGAAAGGCGCTGAGCATGTGATGAGGAGACGTCCGGGGATGATCATGCTCCACCTGGATTCCGTTGAAGCCGGGCTGCGGTTTCCACTTCATACGTTTTATGTGGAGTTCTTCCACTGCTTCCAGGTGGCTCCGGCGCAATTCATGCCAAATTCTTACAGATTCATATCGGCCTTCTTGGTGCGCTGTAAACTCGCGGGGGTCGATGCCACTTTGGAGCTCTTCCATTATTTCTACCGCGTCACTCCTCAGAATGCCGACGGGTATCTGAGCGTGGCCGCACGTCCTGGGAGGCGGCTGTTCAAGAACTACCCCTCGTCCATCCACGACTGGAAGAACCGCTTCTTCTTCCTTCGATACGACGGGCCTCCCCTCCCTCTCCGGTGGAATGGGTATCCCCCAAAGATTGAGTCACCGGAGGGGAATTCTAAAAAAGAATTTCCTAACACGAGACTCACACCTAATTTCCTTGAACAGGAGAATTGGCTGGAATAAGAAGTCAGAAAAACTAGTGGTTGGACTTATATTATATGGAGTACGTAGTATATATGTGTGTGGGGGAGGAGAAAGAATAAGCAACGAAGTTGACACAGAGATCTAGCTCGGACGCAAGAAAAGTGAAGAGTAATTTGGGTTTATAAGCTAAATAATTTCCCATTATAATCATCCCAAGAGTTAAAAGCTAAGTACATACCAGCTTCCAGCTTTTAGCTTTGAAGTGTTTTTTTAAACAAAAACACGCATTTGAAAACACTAACTTTAGTTTTTTTTGAATGACAAAAACGGAAAAACACTTATTTGATTTCTTGCGAACACTTCCTAATACGTTATGTGATTATACTATTCCAATATCACATAATGTTATTTGGGGGAGAGAGGGTTCTTTTAAAATGGTTTTAAGAAATTGCGTAGTATGATTTTGATTATTCAATTTTCTTGTTAAAAGTTCTATTTGAATGGTTGATATTAATTTAATTAAAATGCTCCGTACTTTTATAGTACAACCAAAACAGTTCTAGCCACTAGAAAGCTCAATAACTAGACATAGCCATTCTAAAGGAAAGTAGGAAACAAAACCAATTATAAAGCACAACTAAAATCACGTAATAAGCAAACAACCAATTCTACAAAAACCAATGTAACCTATTAATCTATAATGGTAAATGACTGCTTATATATTCTATAATGATACTAAACATTAATATACGGGGTGCTATCGTGCTATTGACAGAAGCAAACGGATGCTTATCTTAAAAGCAAAAGAGCAGATATGGATTTTGGAGGATGTCATTATCAAGAACCTTTTGGACAGCACTTTTTTCCGTCCCATAAAAATGTTACTTGATATATTATACTCGTATGTAAGTACTTTTGACAACCTAAAACGGAAACAAATTATTCTTACAGACATCTTATAGACATTTTATTTTTCTCAAAGTACAAAAACGAATGCATTCCATTGATTGGAGTAAGGTTGGAAGTACGTTTTTTTTGGTTGGGGTTAGATTGAATTGGTTCCATAAATCAAATCAAACATATGTTCAGATCCATAACAATCAAGTCCTAACTGACCCAGAACTGAACTGAGTATTATAGGTTCCAATCATGTCTTTTGCTTCCCGGGGATCACAACCAAGCATCGTCTGCCATTCCTCCCCCAAGGCCCCAATGTCCTGGACGCAATAAACAAAAGGTCACAATTTCAGACATAAGACTTTCGTATGTCTCATGGCAGTGATAGCATAGGTCAACAAAGAGACATTATAAAGCAAGACATAACATAAAGGGAACTCCAAATCATCATTACATAAAAATAATCCAAGGACATGTCCAGCCCAAACAAAGACACTCGAAACATAAATAAGGGAAAAACAGTGCGGGTATAGTTTCTAGGTAAAAGGAGTAATTGGACTGCTTCGCCTTTGATGGTCTGTTTGGATGAAGGGTTATGCATGTGTTTGCAGAGGAGGCTTTGAGGGATTCTGTCTATATCTAAGAAATAATCAAAACCCTTGAGTCTTCCAATGCGAATCCATCCATCCAAACAGAGCCAAAATGATACAAGTCTGAGAGATATATCACTCAAAGGATAGTTTTGCCCTTCCACCACATCTACCTAAAACTTTAGGTGAATCAACCCTGCAGGTTTAATTTAAAATAAAAAATGAAAGAGGTGCCTGAATCAAACAAGGATAAAACAGGAAACATATATTATGTAGAATACGCAACACATCATTCATCATTCCTCCTCAGATTCAGACTCTGCACTTTGAAGCCAGTCAACAAAGGGTTTAGCATTCTTCCAG